TCATCTCGCTCAGCGACGGAAGCGAGAGTCTGTTTGGCCTTGGGCTAAAAAAGAAAAAGGACGTTAGTTCGGGGCCCGCGAGTCGTTTGTTTACAGCCGGCGGTCGGATTGTCTTACCTTGGGCGTGTTCGCACCGCTGGCCAACCGGGCCGAACGACGGCGAGGCGGCGTCATGTTGGATTGCTGCTCCGTGAGGGTATCGTCGACTTCGGTTTGATGTTGCTGTAAGGTTAGTATGGGTGATGGTCAAGACGAAGAAATCGTCGATCAAGCCAGGTCCTTGGGGAGAGACTCTGTGAGAGATTTGATGATGTCAGGCGAGAGTGAGAGTGGGTGTGGCTCACAGGTTCGGCGTTGGTACGTAGAACGCGACGGGGGAGTGCTTGGAGGGGCTGCCGTTTGTTTACATTCCACAGCCGTTTGCTTTGTTTCGATTGGTCCGTTCGAGGTAGAAAAACAGTGACGGCCCAAGCTCCACGCCCCGGGCCTTGGGTGATCAAGTGGGGCTGCCGCAGTCCGGACAGTGTTTGCACCGTACTCTGGGCGCATTTGTTTACCGTTCGCGGCGCCATCACCCAGTGTTTGCTTGGGTTCACCCTGAACATCTCGTGGGTCAAACAAACAGAGCAGGCACACCTCGTGTCTAGGGGTCCACGTCTACTCTTTCTCGAACTCTCTGTTGTTTCACGTGGCTTGTTGTTGTTCACGTTGTTTTGGACGCCACGGTAAGTACGACGGTGACACTGACACCTCCTGTTGTGGCTGCATCTGCTCGATTGGATGGCAGTGGTTCTCCCACTCAGAGATATCAGCGAACGGAAAGTCTAGTGGACGATGCGATCACGACAACAACAAAGCCAGCCTCGGCTATGCGTTCAAAGGCGCAACGCCACTATCTGGTGGCTGCAACTCAACGCAAGCCAGTGTCGGACCACACAGTTCTAGTTCCCGATTCTCTCCTTTTAACCTCGTTCAAAACATATGGGTCAACGTTTCGGGATTAAACGCTGTCTACCGAGGATGAAAGGGATTAAAAGAAAAAGATTAACCCGGACTGCCGCATCGTTTCCCCCTTCACAATGACGCAGCATGAGACTCCAAGGGTTCGTGTTGTATTCCATGGATGGATGCTATGAAGAGCCCAGCAAGGCTGAAGATTAGCGAAATTCTATCCGGCTCCGAGGAACTGCATCTTCCCGCCTTCGCTTGAGAGTTGCGACTCGAAGTCAGATTCGCCAACGTGTAGCGCCATTCCCCTTGTGAACACACACTGTACAAACACTCCGCCTGCAGATTGATTTGTATGACCGAGATAAACGTATAAAAATGGACATGCGATAGAAGTCGTGGCTTGACACCCAACCACCGAATTTGAGCCTGTCATTCTTCCTGTGACGTCTCAACAGTAGATGATTTGCCCAGAATGAGGCTCATGGTGCGGAATGCTGACCTTCCAGCTAGTTCCAGACGCAGCACCATGCTAGTAGATTACGACACATGATCCTCGTTGCCGCATTCCATACACCAGGCTAAGATTTAGAACAGAATTGCCACTATGGGATAGGACAGGTTCGCCGGATGTTCTAGCAGGATATCCATCAGCTTTAATCTGGTGATTTTCTGGGCTGGTAATCTGTCCAGCATGATCCATCTAGTCTTATCTCGTGTTCGACGGCCACATTCTTTGAAGGACAGGCTGTTCCGGAACCCGGTTCCTTTGCAGTTTCACTCTGGTCTTACAATCACTTCTTCTGTGGGTTGGAGCATCCTGTTGGTCATGCTTAGCTGCCGTGAAGAGACATAGTTCCCTGAAGAAGTCCGTTTGCGGGCAGGATCGATATCATCGTGTCTCTGGCTTCCAATCCTTTGGGTTTGTGTGGTATGCATAGCGTAATCGGTGTTCAATTTGAAGATTGGTGTCTTGTTGGGTAGCTGGGCCCTTGCTGATACTCGACTTTCATCTTAATCACACTCTGTCCTCAATCCAAACCGCCCTTGCCTGCCCTTCCTCCCGTTGCAGCCATCTCGGCTGATATTCTGTGGTCACTTACTCAGTTTCTTGTATCCGGCGGAAAGTCCTGCAACATAGAGCTGGAGTAAACCTACCTCAGACCTCACCTAGGTAAGAAAGAATCGTTGCGGAATACTTCGGTTGACATGTGACGTAGAGAAGAGTTTCTGTCCGCGAAGCTCTGGCGGCTGTCTTTTCATCTTTTGGTGGTCCGCATTGTTATCAAAGGATGGCCGTGGCGGGAAGCCGAGCTTGAGGCTGGTTGGCCTTGCGTCTGGTAAGAGGCTTCACGTTCAGTTCCAGGATCGACCCTCAGGATGGATGAGCTATTGCTCTGATCCACCGGTCGTTTTGCGCAGCGAAATTCTGAAGAAGGACCTCACTGTCGAAAGGGGAGTAGCGAGGTTCGGGTGGCTCCTGCGGGCCATCGCGGCGAACAGTGGTCTTCATGTTGAGATGGTGTTGTGGCTGGGTCGGGGTTGCTGGGAAGTGAATGTTGAGTTGTAGTCGAGAAGTTGTTCGGGGGAATGTGAATGGTTTCTTTAGAGTGGGCATGGGGACAGTGTGTTTGTGTTGAAAAAGAAAGAGAAGTCAATCTCCAAGGAAACCACGGGTACCTGACGGCAGGCAGCAATATCACCCGCACCTTCGCAGCTAGAATTAGATATTACCAGGTGAAAAATGTAGATGACAGGATGGAAGGAACGTGAACATCACCTATGGCATCAATCAGCAGTCACGGTCCAGATGTATAGGTCTCGCGGGTTTAATTCGTATCCATATTGCTCAATCTGACGCCTGCCTCTCAGCTCCATCTCGCGCCCGTTCTGAAACTTCCACTCGCAGACCAGCACCTCTTCGTCATTCTTGCTATCTATCTTTTCAATCTCAGCTCATCTTGGGCTATCTCCAGGCATATTACATCAGATGTCAGTGTTCCGTCAACTATCATCAAAGTATAGGACAGCTTGCTACTCACAGATTACCGGCAACGTGTGCAGACAAGGCAATGAAGCCATGTACGCAATCAAAGGCGATTCTTATAAGGTGCCGGAAGGTTTCTCGTCTAATACCAGTCGGCTGGCCAGTGGGTTGCGAGCGGGTGGAAGGCGGAATATATGGTTGGAGGAGTCAATTGGTTCAAGGCGCTTGGAGGGCTTGGTTGTTCGGCGAGAAGCATATCTAGATGGTGCGCCCAGACATCGTTGTAGAACTCGGGCGAGCCTGCCTGCCCCTGAATGCTTGCGGCGCTGGACTTCGTGGTCTCCTTCACTTCTTGAGGGCCATCGCGTCTGGTCTGAGTCTTCATCTTGTAAGGTGAATGAAGGAGTTGATCGAAGTTGATGTCCAATGTGACGAGTAACGTAGGTTGTTGTTGTTGTTGAATGTGAATCAACTTCTTGACTGTTCAGCGAAGGAATGGGGGTTAAAATAGTCGATCGCGTCAGGGGGTGGGCAGATATCTAGCGGTAATTAGGAAGGCACAAGCCTGATGTGATCTTGTTGAATCAAGTTGCAATATCACTTCAAGGCCAGATGTGAGATATCTGTGGGAGACGTTGGAAGGTTCGATCGAGTCTGCTGGCAGGAAGGAAACTGGACATGATCGTCTACAGGACTGCATGGTTCACCTGAACGAAGCTCGATGGTACTTCAAGTACACTGGGTATACGGCAGACAAAAGTCCTCCTGGGACCTTGACCCCTTCTCGACGCCTCTTCTGAATGCTAATCACTGAGGCGACATCGACCGACTTGGTGTGGGGGTATGGAGCGTAGATATCGTAATCAGAATAAAGTTAAGCCTACTTACGTGGAAGCACCGTGGTATCACATTCAAGATGCTCTTGCTCGAGAGGCACGATTTTCTCACAAGTGTATAGAGTTCGCCCAGAGCTTCCAGTATGATACGTCTTGACTACAGTAGCAACGGAAAGATTGAGATATTGAACCTTCGATAAGCTCCCAGTGGTGACAGTCCAGAAGAAGAACGATACTAGATGCACCAGGGAAGAAACGACGGAAAACCCGACGTCGTCTGCAGTGGAGTTTTCTTACCCTGTGCATAGGTGCGTTTCCGGTGGATCTAGGAGTCAAAGGATAGAAGTCAGGAACACAGCTCTATGTTATACGTTGACCGGCTCGGACAACACATGGAGGACCCGGTTTAATGGGCACGCAGTCATCTCGTCCTATGAGTTGCGGACACACGGCCATAGACATGGGTCAGAGAGCTTCGAAGGGATACACAAAGACTCAGTAAAGTTTTACGCCTCTGTGTAATCATCTCAAGACTGCAGTTGACCCCATCTCCGTCCCAGTTCCATATGTTTAGTGGCTTTCGGAAAAGTTGAACAGCAGGTTGCACGAGATACGAAGGATGATAACATCAACAAACACCCATCACATCCATGCCGAGGCTCCAGTCAAATCGCAAAAGTCTACAACCGAGAAGTAAGGCAAACTGGTCCTGCCGTGTGCCGTGTTGTCAGATTTGTCGAATTGAGCGACGCAGACCGCGCGCATGTTTGCCGACGAAGCTCGGAGGTGGCTGCCTGGGAAAGAGGTAGATGAAGAAGAGAACCTGACGATCCATCATGCAGAGGGATGACCCAAAGTTCTTCCTTCAGTTGGTGGTGGCTGTCTCAATTTCTTCACAGATTATTGCACACATAGATCTGATGCTCGTTGGCTGTCAAATCAATAGAGGATAACCTCTCGCATCTGGCTCATAAAGTCGAATCCACAACGCCTCATCGAGATTCTTTGTTCAACAAGAGAGTAATGTCAGGTGACAGAATGCAATAGAGTTGTCTTCTTTTGTCTGCCTTTGGACTGATGCTTGACATGTTGTGATGTCATTAAGCATGAGTTCAGTCAATATCTCTTTCTCTCCAACAACCCAACCCAGTGCCCTTGCGCCATGTCTCCAAGCAGATGCCTCTCCACGCAGTTCAGGATCAAATCAAAAATAAGACAAAAAGACATGTTTCCGACACCGAGAATCGAACTCGGAGCTCTCCGGAACCTCAGACCATTTGACCGGCTTGAAAGCGGAGTATGTTAACCACTACACCATGCCGGATGCTGATTTGTTGAATGGCGAGGCGATCAAGCAGCTCATGAAGGCCACGTCAGAGCGCGTGGTACAATGCACAGTTGGTTTGGGGTTGGCGTGGCTGAGAAAGGAATGGCTCGAGTCAGACGTGGAGGCACACAGTCTCACGGAGCATGACCGAGCTTGACAGAGGCGCGACAAAGGGCAGTAAAAGCTGCTTGGACCATTGCATTGATAGACTGTTAAGTTATTTAGTTGATTCATCTTCGGAACAGATTGAATAACAAGTATTTGGAACACTGAAGAGCCGCATAGAGTTTGAGTGATCGGATTGCGTGTTTCTGTTGAACACAACTCTCAGAGCCGACACCTGGTCGCAGCTGGCCCAACCAAAGCATAAATCCGAGGAGGCACAATTTCCATGACAGCGGTTTTCTGCACATATGGATACTCCATGTCGAATGAATCAAGAGACTCCGTCAGTGGTTTGGGAACCGGAGGACATTGAAAAAGCTCAGCATGCCCGCCTCCGGTCCATGCTGGCAATTGACTTTTTCCTCTCTCCAAGCATCTTCGACACACTTGTCCGACTCATCCCAGCTTTGAGAGACTCAACTCACGACACACGCCCCGAAGACATCAGGCTCAGCGGTCTTCGGACCGCCGCTTCGTTACGTCTTCCATCCCGCCGCGGATATGGTTTCACATTTGAAGGACTTTCGGACCCGGCGGCATCATGAGCTTGGCAGGACGCCGGACTCATCCCGAACACGTTTGTGAGGCATCAAGCCAAGCATCGTGACGGACCAAAGGTGCCAATGGAATGTCTGATGTCTAATTACTGCAGATGTCGACGCCCGGGCACTCCACACTCTCTTCTGAAGATCACGATCTGGGTCAGCCTGTCTGCGATTCCCGCGGAACCCTCCTGTGAGTCACGGGGGACAGCATCACCTGACCGCTACGTAACCGCAACGCAGCTGGCACGTTCGTGTTTGTAGGACTTTTGAACGGCGCCGCCAGGTGCTGACATGGCGGGTGGCCGGCGGCCAGCTCTCTCAGTAAGTCTGGTCGGGAACACACCCCTCTCTACGGGTTTGGCCCAAAGGGGCAATGAAACGACACGGCTTGCATCTGAGGAATCTATCCACAGCTGCGGTCCACTAGCGGAATGCCCCGCCCTAGGGCTCGCGTAGTGTACGGGAGCCTGGATGCGTACTGATGCATTGCAAAAGAGCAAAAGAAGGTAGGGAAAAAGGGCAGAGGAAATGTCTGATGGTGTGTTGCTGTCTGTAATGCGACGCCGGCCAGGCAAAGGCCTTTTTGCATTCGTGTCAGATGATTGGCTTTCCGATGTTCGGATGCCACGGCGAATGAGTGAGAACCTTGAGGGCGCGGAAAACGTCCGGACTCGGGGGCCAGTCGGAGAGACTAGAAGTTTTCTGGAAGAAAAACCCTTCCCCACTTTTTGCTTGGTCTTCTTCCTCTTTCTGCACCGAGACTGAGAGATGGACGTGGAAGTGGAAGCTCGGGCCATGCATTTGGACCCCGATCCGACGCTAGGGCCATTTCGTCCAAGACGGTCAGCTGAACGGATTAGAACGAACGGAGCGAATGAACGGTGCGAACGGACGGCGCCAAAGCCCAGACGGCACCCAGACTGTCACTGGCAACTGCAACTGCGCACGTTCGAGATCGCCTGCCAGCTCAACAAGTGCTGTCTGCAACAAACCTTGAGCAGGCTTGGCGTCGCGACTTGCTGCCCCCAAGAAATCAAAAAGGACGAACATCGGTTGCCTCGAACAGAAAGTCAGATGGGAGAGAGATCGGTCCAATCCCGAGACCGGAGGATGGATGACCTCAGTGCAATCGCGGCCTCCGGGCATGAAGGATGGGTGAAAATTATTTCAACCTCACGGCACAGACGAGGATGTGACGAAACACCGTCAATCACCTCACCTCTCCCGACTGCTCGGTTCCTGCCGTAACCATCGGCGCAGTGCTCCGGGAGGGTCAAGTCCGACAATTATTGGCTGCCGCTACGTCGAAATGCCTTTCCTGCACCGGGATAGGGCCACCACACCAACTTTTTCAATCACGTCGCCCTGCGTCACGTTACGAAGGCAGGCAGTTAGTTGGAGAAGACCTCCGAAAAGAAAGAGTTGGAGACGACTCCGCGGAGATACAAGTTTCTCTCTTCAACAGTCCAAGGATCTGAGGCAAGCATCCGTTAGTGCGTCGCTAACGTCGCCTTACCGTACAGTTCGCAGGGATGCAATCCAACGCTACAGGCTTGTCCAGCGCGGGAATCTGCTTTGAGCCTGCAGCCTACAACTGAGTCCAGACTCTGGCCGCCGTCTTTAACACGCTGTCCGCTTCCAGTGCCGCCGTTGCTGTTACGGCACTTGCGCTGCTCCCGTCGCGGATCATGGAGTCGCTACCGCGGCACCGCTCAAGGGCCTGGGCTCACCTCTGAATGCGCTTCAGCGTCATCAACCGCACTTCTGCTGGTCGAAACGCCCAGCCTGGCGATCGTCAATGGAGTCAACGGGGCGAGCCTTGGACCTCAAATCAACTCGGCGTCTTTTCTACATCCTGCTCAGCCTTTCTCTGGACACTTGTTGTCTCCCGACGTATTTCTTCCTCCTCGAGGACCAACAATTTTCAGTGGACGTCAACAAACGCACATGGCGTTTCTCTGGCCAGGCTAACGTTTCTCTCCCCGAGGTACATGCGCTACAGGTACCCCAAGTCTCCAACTGCACCTGGACTGGTGGAGGGGCGTTGGTTTTGGGTGTGCCTCGCAACTGGACGACAGCTGGAAGCTCTCCGCCTCCCGGATGCTGGCTGGAGCTCAGGTGATCTGAAAATTTGTTCGATGCGAACGTGGCTCCGCTCCAGTTCAGAGCCCGGCCCCAGCTTCGTCTGATGACCGCCAAAATCGACCAGTCGCCAGCAACACCGGCTGCCGCGAATACGCCTGGGACGTCCTACGTCTGAAAGGTCTGGTGAAATGACCTCTTGCGTGCCAAGGATGGTCGTTTTTGATGCTCGACGAGAGAGCCCGTCCATGATCTGGGTGTCTTTTCGTCTACGCAAGGAAAGGCTTGTGGGGGAGCCTCCAGTTCGGAGTCTGCGAGATTGACCTGATGGCTGATGGAATTTTTCAACGCTTGCATCATTTCTAGGTTCATCACTGAGCCGCACTGCCCAGGCTTGAACAGTGGAACGGGCCAAAAGAGACACTCTATCGTCGCCCATCGCGCATCACGGTGCATATAAATACCGCCCCCTTATCATTCAACGCGCGGATCCTTGAGGGATCTCTTTGCCTGTCGGTCCTTGCACGACCTGGGCTTGGCTAGGCTGTCACAATATCGATCTGCTGAGCCGTTCTGTGTCTGTCGCTGGCTAATTGCGAGTTTCGCGAGGAACCACGGATGCAGAAGCTCTCGCTGGATCCTTGAGTCAGCAAATTGAATTGGTCTGGAGCAATTGTTGCGGTTCATGTCCAACTTTGGCGGGCAGGCCTGCCTCTTTGGAACCCTTACCGCAGCGATCTGACGACGACAGCTTCTGGTTGTCCTGAATGTCAACAAGGTTCCCCGAAATGACGCCTTCCCTGAGCTTTCAATGGTGAACCTAAGAGCCAAGTCTCATCGCGGGCAGGTCCCAGTCGGATGCCGCAAGATGCACAAAATTCGGGCCAGGAACGTGACGGCAGGCAGCCCGGTGGTCGGAGGAAAAGCTGCTATTGCTGCACAACACCGACGGGATACCACTATGCGATATGGCGCACTGGACAGCCACATCCCATCCCAAGGTACCCTCCAATCTTAGTTTGGTATTGGACCAGTCCCCAAGGTCTCGAGAGGAGCCATCGATGGCAGCCATGGCCTTGGAAGAAGAGAAGCATCTGGACCAATAATTGCCCACTTTGGCGAACGAGGCAAATGCCTTGGTTTCTGGCCAGCTTCCCACCTTCTCCACGGCCAGAAGCCTCATGTTAATGCTTCGTGCGTGTGCCACAAAAATGAGGTAGGCAGGAAACGGTTTGCGCCAGGGGTGGTCTGGGGGCCGCGTTAACACCAGGACTGCGAAAGCTACCTGGAGCCAAGTACCCGCCCCCAAAGCCATATAACCAGTCCCACCCCAATATTCCTGCCTTGGCCAGAAGGGGTTTTGAAAAGCTTTTCGGACTCTTCAACTACTGAATCTCCTCTGTTTTCGACGCTGTGTTTGACGTCAATCCCGTGAGAAGTCGACGACGAAAGACGAGAGACGCCGTTGAGACCGTGCAGGCCATCGAAAAGCTACGACTGGAACGACAAGTAGGCCGAGACAACGCTACGACGGACAACGCGCGGCGAACCATCATCACGCCGCAGGAAAACGAACGAACCCCAACGACCAAAACCAAACCCTCCACCGTCAGAAGCGGGGTTCCTGGGCTGGCGCAGCAGCCGCGCGACCTGATCAGTGAAGCTGCATCTCTGTCGAGCGAGACGAGCTGAGTTGTTCGTCTGCTGGCCTCTTCTGTCTGCTGCAGGATACGCAACCGACGACATCCGCCAGCACCAGCACCAGCACCAGCACCAGGCTCACATTCGCCTCTTTCCCTTCTTGGGGTTACCTTTTTGGAGCAACCGTCGCGCAGCCGTTCATCCATCCATCCATCACCGTCGTCGTGAGCGGCCTGGTCGTTGCCCGGGTTCCACGACTTGCTGCTGGTTGGCTCTGCAGAAGGATAGACACCACGCGGTCCATCGTCATCTGCTGCTGACCCCAAATCCTCTTTTCTCCTTCAGCCAACCTCTCAGGTTGTTGGGGGTGGCCACCATCTCCGCGCAGTGGTTCTTGACGCTCCTGGGCCTGCCCGCACGTCCTCCAGAAAACGTTGCCCTCGTTGCAGCTGCATCAAAACGTGGGGAGACACACGGGACGGACAACCAACTGATCAGTCCAGCCAGCCAAGCCAAGCCAGCCTGTCTGCCAGCTTGATTTCCTTACCCCCGTCCGAAGACGAG